TTTTTTTGTTGTTGTTCCTCTGCTCCTCCTCTACCACTTTCTTTTGCATTAAATAAATATTTTTCAGTGTAACATTTTAATTCAATAATTTTTCACTAATTTTTTTCACTATAAAATTTTCTTAGTTGCTGTTCTAGGACTTAAACAATATATATCTGAACTTATCAGAATGTTCAGATTTATACTATTTTAAGTCCAATGAGATAGAGAAATATCTATACAATCCTATTCCCTCTTCTTTTTTTGTTCTACTAATAGGTATACATATTACATCTATATATGTTACAGATCCAACTATACTTTGATGTAATTATTACTTTATACAATTTTAGGACTTTTAAAAAAGCTGAGTGAAAAGAAAGCATATATTTATAGAGTTTGCTATATTAACCTTATTTACCATTTTGGGTTCTTGTCAATAGGAGATTTTCCTGAATAAAAAGTTCCTCTATTTGCTCTATGCCCTCAGTACAATTTCTGGAAAAAAAAAAATTAAAAAATTTTATATATATAATTGTTACCAGTTATGGTTGTTTGTTTGAGAAGATGGTACACAGAGCTCCTCACATGACTATTCTTTAAGTATTCCCCTGGTTAGGAATATTTTAAACATTGATGTTTAGTAGTAAATTGTCCTCCAGAAAAGCTATTTCACTTTACATTTTCAGTAGCAACTCATCAGAATGCCTATTCTCCACACTTTTGCCAACACTAAACATTATCAATATTTTATTTTATCAATAATCTTTGCCAGTGTAATAAGCAAAAAAATCTATTTCATTTTTATGTTAAAAATTTAGGCAGTCTGAGTTGAGAAAGATGATGCCTAGAAAAGGCACACCTGTATATTTTTATTGTTGAATTATAGTTAACACCACAACATTACTGTAAGAAAAGTGAAATGTGAAGGAAGTGGAAGTTTCCAGAAATGAAGAAAGGGACTGCCTCCATGTCTTCAGGAGGGGCCAAAACAAACTACCTAGGGAAGACTTGGCACCAGTAATTCTCCTCTTGTAAAAGGTCTCTTTCCTCTTAAATAAAAATTAGTTATATTTTGCCAGTAGCATATATTTAAATTTTACTGCAAAATACTAATTATTAAATAGGCTAACAGCATTAAAGGATTGCTAGAGTCTTTTTTATCTATTCAATAAAATACTCAAAACTATACTTTGGTTCTGATTTTGTTGTTGGCCTTCTTTAAATAACTGTCTTAGCTAGTACAAATATCAGGAATCTAAATATAAAATATTAAGAGAAATAGTCATGATTGCTACTGTGGGTCACTGATCAAGTAAAGATTATCAGGTAAAAAATAATGGAATGTGAAAGTCTCTTTAACAGCTTAAATTCAGACTTGTTGCTTTCAGCACTAAAAAACACTTGTGTATTTTCATAACTTGTCTATTTTTTTAAAAATTAAGCATGAGTAAATTGGTCTGCTGGATAGTATTTCTTATTATGATATGTTTGTTTCTCCCTTGCCTCCCAAATATAGATCTCTCTAGCTAAGTTCACCAGGTCT